AAGACAAACGTGTAAACCAGCTTTTAAAGGTCCAACAACGAGAGATTGGGGCGCAATCTGGCTATATTTACGAGGTGAAAGAAGGAAGCCGTAATGACCTTGTTAATTTGCGCTTCGAAGGTTAGTAAGGAATCAAGGACAACATCAAGGTTGCAAACTGTCTGAGCAGCACCGACATTGTGGCCATCAATTAACACACTGACCGAGCCATCCTTAGACAATTGATGATGGGACCCAACAAGGAGCACCTCCGTCTTATCAGCTTTCAACTTAAGAAAGTTAGACTGCATCCAAGTCTTAATGGTCACAAGAGAAGATGACACACTACATGCTGCTGCATCGAGGGGGGATTCAACGTTAATGTAAATGTGTGTCATCAGCGTAACAATGAAAACAAAGTCCTAGTTAGCGTATGATATGCCCAAGTGGGGCCAAATATATCCAGAACAAAAGAAAGCCAAGCACTGAACCCTGGGGGCCACCAAGAGGAACTGAACATGTGTCTAAATGTATCCCTCCCAGGCTGACAAACTGTTTACGCTCAGATAGGTATGAAATAAACCAGCACAAAACAGTACCGGTGCTGTAAAACTTGCACCATGGCATCCACAGTAAATGAGTATACTTCAGAGTGACAAGTGGAAAATTGCCGTGGAAAACATGTCCGGAGTGATTGATTTTAGATTCTGAAATCTGAGCTGGATCTTTACTATAAAATTAGGTGGAGGAATCAGAAGATTGAACAGCACCGCAACAATGACAGGATATTCCAGGATCAATAATTGATAAGTTGGTGACACTCTTTGGTTCTTTCGGTAAAGTCACGTCGAAAGAAAATAAATAAATTTAAATTAAATAACAGATTATTAAATCTATTTTCTTTTTACGTGACTTTGCCGAAATAACCAAAGAGTAATTCCTGTAGTCACGAAAGCTTCAAATCTAAGTTGGTGGCAGACAATCCCCGGGAACAAACCAGGTCAAGGATGTGACCACAAATAAGGGTGGGGGAATTAACATGCTGAGCTAAATTAACACAATTTAGGGTGGACAGAAACTCCATGGAGAGAGCACATTCTTGTGAGTCGATGTGAATATTGAAATCACCCAAGAGTAATAACCTATCAGTGGCTGAACACAGCGTGGAAAGTAGCTCGGTTTGCTCCCCAATAAAAACACATTCCTGCGAAGGGAGCTGGTAGGAACGTTGGGTTGCTCGGTAAATGGCCAGGGTCAACGGCGGCGTGGTGTATTCTGCAAATATGCCCGACTGTGAGGGCGGGCACAAGCCGGCGTGAGTAGGTTAAACGTTGAGTTTTATAAGGGCACCACGGGGTGACCAGCCCCTCCCCACCCAGCCCCACCCCTCCCACCCCCCACCCAGCCCCTCTCTCCCCAACCAGCCCCTCCCCACCCAGCCCCTCCCACCCCACCGAGCCCCTCCCTGCACGACGGACACAATAATCCCCTGTGGGCTGGTGTAACCAGGAGGTTCCTACCAGTATAAGTGGAGTCCTTGGGGGGACGATAAAGGAGCACTGTTGTGACAGTCTGGATAAACTTACATTCCAGAACTAGATGCTCAAACGACTGGAAAGCCAACATAGAGGTTGGGCGGAGGGTAGTGGATGTGGGATGGAGAACTGCAAGACCGCCACCTTGGCCAGATGATCGGGGCTTGTCCTTAAAAGCGTATTCGCTGGGTACTTCCTCGTTAAGGAGATGATCATCTGGCTGGTGCCATGTTTCTGAGAAGCACAACAAATCAAGATGGCCATCTGTGATCAACTCAATAACCAAAGCAGCCTCATAACTAAGAGAGTGCACATTAAGAAGGCCAACACGTGTCAAGCTGTCAGGCACAGCAGGAGATGTAATGCGTGCAACTATGTGCAGACAGAGGTCGTATACGGGAATGGTATTCGAGACCACCAGTGCAGTGGTGGCGGGCTTTCTTACATGGCCTAAACCCCGATGGATGTAGGGTGTCCGATGAAAGATCTTTAGATGGCGGAGTTTGACCTTCAGGTTCGGAATAATGGGCAGGGATTTGGAGCCGACGGATAAGAGAACGTCACGATTGAGTAATATCATATCACACTAATAAGCGAGACCACAGTCAAGGTGAGCCAGACGCGAGCTGCAGCGGGCCAATTGCGAATAATAAAGCGAAATGGCATCCACTGACTGCGGGCAGGTGACGAGCCGAGGCAGGCCAGGTGCAAAGCCACAGCAGGCTGGTCACAAGTGAAGACAGCCGATGCATTGGAACACAGCACTGCCGCAAATCTGGCTGTCGCCTGATGAAGCTAGTTTCAATTACCGGCGAAACGTCGTACTCAGATTGTAAATGTTGTGGCTTTGCTCTCCAACGCACCGGTGTGCTGTACTAGTGACGAATTGGCACGTTCTGTTTACATGACAACCCCCAAACTAATTCAACCTAGATTTGAAGTTTTCGTGACTGCAAGGATCCATACTCGCCAACTTCAGCAATTGTTTCTTGCTGTGGTTGTCCCACCTGATGACGGACGCTTGTGTTGCGCCCGAAACGTCGTGATCTAATTTCTTTTATTTTACACCTACATGACTTTACCGAAAGGACCAAAGAGTATGGGACCCTAACTAATTGGCTGTGTCGGGTGTGGCGGGTTTAACGACACGTGTATATATTTACACGATCTAACCCAAAAAAAACTGACAGAGATATGTGTGTTAATTAGTAGCATACATGAAGGTAAAGTTGTGAATGTAAGTGTGAGTAATTTTAACAAGTGAGCGAATTTCTGCATACCTAAGCAAGTTGCGTTTGTTGAAATGTCTAATTTTATACATTGCACTGTATAAGATTGTAAAATGTTGAGATGCATTGCACTGCACATATCTGTGAACTGCAACAGTTCAGGCTGCATGAGGCAGCAACAAGGAAAGGACAACGGCAGAGGAGAGTCTTTCACCATTAAAAATACAAAAACAAATATCACACCTAATTAAAAAATTGTAGTGCTATAAATAAACTAAAAATATACATGAAAAAAATAAAACGATCAATAGATCAAAGATCAAAGTGAAAAACTAGATAAAACAAAGCAGCTGAGCGGGAGCGGCAACAAGTTTGCCAGCGTCCCCCACCCCCACAGTATTGTACTTAAAGCATGCATGTTATACTGGGTGGCCCAAAAGTCAGGACACATTAGGCTATTGTTATACTGGGTGGCCCAAAAGTCAGGACACATTAGGGTATTGTTATACAGGGTGGCCCAAAAGTCAGGACACATTAGGGTATTGTTATACAGGGTGGCCCAAAAGTCAGGACACATTAGGGTATTGTTATACAGGGTGGCCCAAAAGTCAGGACACATTAGGGTATTGTTATACAGGGTGGCTCCAAAATTCAGGACACATTAGGGTATTGTTATACAGGGTGGCTCCAAAAGTCAGGACACATTAGGCAATTGTTATACAGGGTGGCCCAAAATATACATTTTGAAAGGTATATCAAGACGATTATGAAAAATAACAGAATAGGCTTTATTTACTCGTTCCGAAAAGAAAACAGAGACAGTGTTAAGATATCCAAACACCGAATAGACGCCGACTATCACTACATGGCATCTTCAATCAGTCTGAATTAACCCCACGTCACGCTTGTTGTAAGACCACCAGCAACAGGAACAATGCAAACACACACAGCTGTGATTATAATAATAATGATGATGTACGGCATTGTCCTTGTAACTGATTGACCTTCCGCTTTTGTATGGAGATGAAAGATGTAATTTTATATTTGTTTGTTATCCACTCGAATTATTTGTTCAGACGCAGAGTGGAGCTCGTCCTGTTCCTCCTTTAAAGGAGTGAAGACAGCAGATAAGTGATTACAATGATGGTCGATGGTTTGGGATTTGCGGCCGCACGCTCACAAGGTGATTCATCTTTGATGGCCCCATTTGTGGCATCAGTTGGCCGCATCGGCTGCACGACACCGGGCCCAGAATCGGTCGCACGACCCCCAGTCCGAATTCGGTCGATGGTCGACCTTTGGCTGCGTGGGAGGCAGAAGCCGGAGAGTTTCAATGGTAGGGTCCTGATTGGCCTGTAACAGAGCTACAGCCCCCCAGTCTTTGGCTCTATCTCTCACCACTGGCGTTAGGCCAGAGAACTACGCCCCAACATGCGACCAGAAACAAGGACAATGCAAACATGAACGCATTCATACGCTCGGGTTGAGCAGTTAAATCATTGTCGGCCAGTTATAGCATTTCCACGTCAAGGAGTGTAAACCATCATCACGCGAACTCCGCTCATCCTGGCAGCAGCAGCGGTTTTTCCCTTAGCCATCAAACAAAGACGGTGGTCGCGCGGCGCTTTCAGATGCGCTGCTTCTGCAGACGTCTGGAACGCTCTTCCTTCCGATATGAGGAAGCCACTGGGAGCTATCATGCTGCTTCTTGCTGTTGTGTTTAGTTTGTTGTTCATCCCCCGCACCTGCGATTAGCACGCTTGGCTATGTACGGTGCCAAAGAAATTCAACATTCATACAACATTATGTACATACAACATACAGACATACAACATACAGTCACACAAAGTACAAACATACAAAAGGCAACCATTACAAGGACAATGCAAATATCAATGCATTTATGGCTCGGGTCGAGCAGTTATATCACGGCCATCGTGAACTCCACCGACACGTCCATCGTGAACCCACCCACCAACACGGCCATCGTGAACCCACCAACATGGCCATCGTGAACCCACCCACCAACACAGCCATCGTGAACCCCACCCACTGACCCGGCCATTGTGAAATCCACCCATCAATACGGCCATTGTGAACCCCATGCCCTCACTCCCACTGTCTCTGTCTTGAATCTCGTTGTCTCCAAGTCTCCTCACAATTGTCCATGGCATACCACCTCCTCCACCACCTCCTCCACCACCTCCACCTCCTCCTCCACCACCTCATCCACCACCACCACTTCCAACAACAACAACAACTGCCATTCGCCACTAAGTGGCAGTGATGAGACCACTGCGCTTGTGCCAGACTAAGTGTGCTTTAAACACACGTGAAGTGTCGCAGGCCCACTGGCAGGAGGTCGTGGGACGAGACCCAGCAAGTACCATGGGTTGACTGACTGAAATGACTGGCCGATGCACCACCTGTGCCCCCTACTGTGCCAACTTGCTGTGTTTTATCCACCCGGTACTCCACTTGTTATTGTGACCGTCGCTCCACTGCTGGTGCAAGTTATTGGCAAGTACACCCAGCTCCACATCTTCTCATAACACATCATTCTATCTCTTCTCTAGCCCATGCCACTTCCATTTAGCCCCCTCTATCCAGCCGAACAAAAACTGTTTAGGCAAGCAGTGGCTGGGCATGTGGACTACATGACCCAGCCAACGCAGCCTGCCAGAGGAGCTCACTGATGGGACTTAGTCCAGACCTGTCAAAGATTTGTGAACTCCTCCCACAATCCAGTCTGGTTAACCCCAGGATGGATCATAGGCAGACCAGCCTTAATGTTTCTAACCAGTGCAGATGTTCCATTATAGAGGTCCACATTACAGAAGCATGGATAAGGGAGGGCATGACCGTGAACGAGAAGACCCAACACTTCATGTGGAACAACAGACTAGGAAGCTTCCACACAGTGTTACACAGCCGATGAAAAGGTAATTCCGCCTAACAGATTCGGAGTGAGACCTCTTCTGTTGCACGGGAGCTGGTCATAAACACATTGCCCAGGTATGGAAACCTCTCCATTCTCTCCACAACTGCTCCATCACCAATTGGGAGTTGAGGGGTGGAGTGTTTGATGACACAAAATGCCCAGGCACCACCTCCTCCACCTCTTCCATCACAAATTCTACCACCTTCTCCACCACCTCCTCCACCGCCAACTCTACCAACTCCTCCTCCACCACCTCGAAGGTCATGGTGACCCAGTGCCCACGGTCATATCCCCAGCGCGACCTCCTCCACCTCCTCCGCCTCCTCCTCCTGCGACGTCACCCCTCCACGAGGTGGTGGACGATGCCACGAGCGCGGCCGCTGCCGCTACCGCATTGATGGTGGACGATGAAGAGGAGGAGGAGGTTGTTGAGGAGATGGATGAGGAGGTGGATGAGGAGGTGGATGAGGTGGTGGCGGATGAGGTCGAGCCGGTGGTGGACTGGTCACGCAACAAGGCGACGAGGAAGTCAATGTAGCGCATGGCCAGTCGCAGGATCTCATTCTTGCTGAGCTTGCGGTCGGGGGGGTGTGTGGGCAGCAGGCGACGGAGCTCGGAGAAGGCCCCATTCACGTTCTGCTGGCGCCAGCGCTCGCGGCTGTTCGTGAAGATCCGGCGCACAAGCTTCTGTGGGGAGCCGGCTGGGGGAGGAGAGGGGGGAGGTGAGGGAGGAAGTCGCCGAATCTCGTGAAGTGAGAAGTGGGGGCAGACGCGGGGGGACACGGGGAGGTGCTGGTAGACACGGCAGGAAGCTGAGAAGGAGGAGAGCGGGGAAGTAGCCGACTCTCGTCAAGTGAGATGCGGGGCAGGAGACATTGGGAAGATGCCGGGAGACACGAGGAGATGCTGGGAGACACGAGCAGATGCTGGAAGATGCGGGAAGACGCGTGGAGACACGGGGAGACACTGGGAGGCGCTGGTAGACACGGCAGGAAGCTGAGAAGGAGGAGAGCGGGGAAGTAGCTGACTCTCGTGAAGTGAGATGCGAGGGAGGAGACGTTGGGAGATGCCAGGAGACACAAGGAGATGCCGGGAGACACGGGAAGACGCGTGGAGATGCGGGGAGACAATGGGAGGCAGGGGAAGGTACAGGGAGGTACATGGAGACACGGTGAGGGGTGGGTAGCTGAGCAGCAGGTAGGTGAGTGGTAGGTAGGTGAGGGGAAGGTGAGCAGGAAGATCAGCATGTAGGTGAGTGGTTGGTAGGTAGGTGAACAGTAAATGGTGAGCAGGTAGGTGAGGGGTGGGTAGGTTAGCAGGTAGGTGAGGAGTGGGTAGGTGGGTAGATTAGTGAGCTTTGTAAGTGAGCTTTAGGTAGGTGAAGGGTGGGTAGATGAGTGGGTGGGTAGGTGAGCAGGTAGCTGAGGGGTAGGTGAGCAGGTAGGTAAGCGGTAGTTAGGTAAAATGTAGGAAGGTCAGGAGGTAGGTGAGCAGGTAGGTGAGGAATGGGTTGGTGAGCTGGATGGTAGGTGAGCAGGTAGGCAAGCAGGTAGGTGAGTGGGTAGATAAGTGAACTGGTCGCTGAGTGGGTATGTAGGTGAGCAGGAAGGTGAGCACATAGGTGAGTGGTTGGTCGGTAGGTGAACAGTAGCTGGTGAGCAGGTAAGTGAGGGGTGGGTAGTTGAGCAGGTTGGTAGGTTAGCAGGTAGGTGAGGGGTAGGTGTGGAGTGGGTCAGTGAGCGGTTAGGTAGGTGAACTGGTAGGTGAGCAGGTAGGAGAGCCTGGAGAGGTGAGTGGGTAGGTGAGTGGTAGATAAGTGAGCAGGAAGGTGAGGGGTGGGTATGTGAGCAGGTAAGTGAGTAGGTAGGTGAGCAGGTAGGTGAGAGGGTTACTTTCTCCGATCTCGTAGTCGAAGGGCAGGGGTCGTCGCTTCAGCCTTGCGTGTTGTGCTGAGGGAAACCCAGCGGACACCACGAACGCCCTGGGGAGGAATGAGGGGATCACAATGGCGATGTCAAGGGGGTTCAAGATGGCCGTTTCAGTGGGGTTCTCAATGGCCATTTCAGTGGGTGGGTGTGCGTTTACAATGGGCGTGAGGGTGGGTGGGTTCACGATGGCCGTGTTTGTGGTTGGGTGGGTTCCCGATGGTCGTGTCCATAGGGGGGTGGGTTCACAATGGCCGTATCTGTGGGTGGGTGGGATCACGATAGCCGTGTCTGTGGGTGGGGTGTTGAGGTCACGATGGCCATGCCTGTGGGTGGTTAGGGTCACAATGGCCATTTCTGTGGGTAGGTGGATTCACGATGGCCGTGTCTCTGGGGGGGTTCCCAAATGCTGTTTCTGTGTGTTGGTGGGTAGGTTTATGATGGTCATGTCTGAGGGTAGGTTCACGATGGCCATGTCTGTGGTGGGTGGGTTCATGAAGACCATGTCTGTGGGTCGACAGGTTCATGATGGCTGCGTCTGTAGATTTGGTGAGTTGCAGATGCCCGTGTCTGTGGGTCGGTGTGTTCACAATGGCCGTGTCTGTTGTTGGCTGTGTCTGTGGGTGGGTTCAGGATAGTCGTATCTGTGGTGGGTTCACGATGGCCATGTATTTTGGTGGGTGGGTTCACGATGGCCGTGTCTGTGTGTGAGTGGGTTCACGATGGCTGTGTCTGTGTGTGGGTGGGTTCACGATGGCCGTGTCTGTGTGTGGGTGGGTTCACAATGGCCGTGTCTGTGGGTGTGTTCACGATTGCCATATCTGTGGGTGTGTGGGTTCACAATGGCCGTGTCTCTGATTGGGTGGGCTCACAATGGCCGTGTCTGTAGGTGGGTGGGGTTCACGATGGCCGTATCTGTGGCTGGTTGGTTCACAATGGCCGTGTTTGTTGGTGGGTGGGTTCACGATGGCCGTGTCTGTGGATGGGTTCACGATGGCCGTGTCTGTGGGTGGGTTCACGATGGTCATATCTGTGTGAATGTGGGTTCACGATGGCCATTTCTGTGGGTGGGTGGCTGGGTGGGTTCACAATTGCCTTTTCTGTGGGTGGGTTCACGATGGCCGTGTCTGTGTGTGAGTGGGTTCATGATGGCCGTCTGTCTGGATGAGTGGGTTCACGATGGCTGTGTCTGTGAGTGGGTGGGTTCACTATGGTCGTGTTTGTGGGTGGGTGGGTTCAGGATGGCCATGCCTATGTATGAGTTCATGATGGCCATGTTTGTGGGTGCGTGGATTCACCATGGCCTTGGACGTGTCTGTGGGTGGGTGGTTGGGTTTGTGATAGCCATGTCTATGGGTTCGTGGGTGGATTTCACGATGGCCGTGTCTGTGGGTGGTTGGGTTCAGGATGGCCACGTTTGTGGGTTGCTGGGTTAACGATGGACCTGTCTGTGGGTGGGTTCATGTTGGAGAGTCTGTGGGTGGGTGGGTTCACGATGGCAGTGTACGTTCATTGGGGCGTTCACAATGACCATGTATGTGGGTGGGATCACTATGGCCTTGTCTATTGGTAGGTTCACGATGGCCGTGTCTGTGGGTGGGGGTTTGGGTTCACGATGGCTGTTTCTGTGGGTGTTTGGGTTCACGATGACCATTTCTGTGAGTGGGTGGGTGGATTCATGATGGCCGTGTCTCTGGGTGGGTGGGATCACGAATGCCGTTTCTGTGTGTGGGTGCGTGGGTTCATGATGGCCATGTCTGTGGGTGGTTTCACGATTTCCGTTTCAGCATCACGATGGCCATGTCTGTGGCTGGTTGGTTCACGATGGCCGTGTGTGTGGATGGGTTCACGATGGTCATATCTGTGGATGTGTTGGTTCACGATTGCCATGTCTGTCAGTCCTTGGTTCAGAATGGCTATATCTTTTGTAGGGTTGGTGTGTTCCAGATGGCCATTTCTGTGGGTGGGTTCACGATGGCCATGTCTGTTGGAGGGTGGGTTCATGATGGCCGTGTCTCTGGGTTGGTGAGTGGGTTCACGATGGGCATGTTTTTGGGTGGGTGGCTGGGTGGGTTCACAATTGCCGTTTCTGTGGGTGGGTTGACGATGGCCATGTGTGTTGTTGGGTGGGTTCATAATGGCCATGTCTGTGGGTGGTGTCACGATTTCCGATTCTGTGGGTGGAATCACGATGGCAGTGTCTGTAGCGGGTTTGTTCATGATGGCTGTGTCTGTGGGTGCATTCATGATGGCAATGTCTGCAGGTGTGTGTGCACATGATGGAGGTGTCTCTGGGTGGGTGGGCTCATGAAGGCCGTGTCTGAGGGTGGATTCACGATGGCCATGCCTGTTGGTGGGTGGGTTCACGATGGCGGTTTCTGTGGGTGGGTGGGTTCATGATAGCTGTGTTCGTGGGTGGGCAGATGGCCATGTCTGTTTGTGGGTGCACTCACGATGGCGGTTTCTGTGGAGTGGCTCACGAAGGCGATGTCTGTGCGTGTGTTGATTCACGATGGCCATGTCTCTGGTTGAGTGGCTGGGTGCCTTCACAATTGCCGTTTCTGTGGGTGGGTTCACGATGGCTGTGTCTGTGTCTGGTTAGTTCACGACGGTCGTGTCTGTTGGACGGTGGGTTCACAATTTCCGTGTCTCTGGGTGGATGGGTGGGTTCACGATTGCCGTTTCTGTGGGTGGGTTCACAATGGCCGTGTCTGTGGGTGGGTGGGTTCACGATAGCTGTGTTTGTGGGTGGGCGGGTGAGTGGGTTCACATTGGCCGTAGCCATGGGTGGGTGGGTTCACAATGGCCGTGTCTGTGGGTCGGTAGCTTTACAATTGTCATGTCTGTGGGTCGGTGGGTTCACGGTGGCCGTGTCTGTTGTTGGGTTGGTGGGTTCCAGATGGCCGTGTCTGTGTGTGGGTTCACGATATTCGTGTCGTGGGTGGCTGGGTTCATGATGGCCATGTTTGTTGGTGGGTGGGTGGGGTCTCGATGGTCGTATCTGTGGGTTCACGATGGCTGTGTCTGTGGGTGAGTGGATTCACGATGGCCATGTTTTTGGGTGGCTGGATTCACGATGGCCGTGTCTGTCGTGGGTGGGTTCACGATGGCCGTGTCTGTGGGTGGGTGGATTAACAATGGCTGTGTTTGTGGGTCGGTGGGTTGACAATGGTCATAACTGTGGCTGGTTGGTTCACAATGGCCGTGTTTGTGGGTGGGTGGGTTCACGAAGGCCGTGTCTGTGGGTGGGTTCACAATGGCCGTGTCTGTGGGTGGGTGGGTTCACGATAGCTGTGTTTGTGGGTGGGCGGGTGAGTGGGTTCACATTGGCCGTAGCCATGGGTGGGTGGGTTCACAATGGCCGTGTCTGTGGGTCGGTAGCTTTACAATTGTCATGTCTGTGGGTCGGTGGGTTCACGGTGGCCGTGTCTGTTGTTGGGTTGGTGGGTTCCAGATGGCCGTGTCTGTGTGTGGGTTCACGATATTCGTGTCGTGGGTGGCTGGGTTCATGATGGCCATGTTTGTTGGTGGGTGGGTGGGGTCTCGATGGTCGTATCTGTGGGTTCACGCTGTGTCTGTGGGTGAGTGGATTCACGATGGCCATGTTTTTGGGTGGCTGGATTCACGATGGCCGTGTCTGTCGTGGGTGGGTTAATGATGGCCGTGTCTCTGGGAGGGTGGGTTCACGATGGCCATGTTTTTGGGTGGGTGGGTTCCCGATGGCCGTCTCTGTCGTGGGTGGGTTCACGATGGCTGTGATTGTGGGTGGGCGTGTGAGTGGGTTCGCATTGGCTGTAGCCATGGGTGGGTGGGTTCACGATGGCCGTGTCTGTGGGTCGGTAGGTTGACAATTGTCATGTCTGTGGGTCGGTGGGTTCACGGTGGCCGTGTCTGTTGTTAGGTGGGTTCACAATTGCCATGTCTGTCGTGGGTGGGTTCACGTTGGCCGTGTCTGTGGGTCGGTAGGTTGACAATGGTCATAACTGTAGGTCGGTGGGATCACAATCGCCATGTCTGCGGGTGGGTGGGTTCACGATGGCTGTGTCTGTGGGTGTGTAGGTTCACGATGGCCATATCTGTGGGTTGGTGGGTTGACAATCGTCATGTCTGTGGGTGGGCTCATGATGGCCATGTCTGTGTGTGGGTGGGTTCACGATGGCCACATCTGTTGGTGTGTGGGTTCACGTTGGCCATGTGTCTGGGTTGGTGAGTGGGTGCACGATGGCTGTGTCTCTGGGTGGGTGGGTTAATGATCGCCGTGTCTCTGGGTGGGATCACGATGGCCATGTTTTTTGGGTGGGTGGGTTCCCGATGGCTGTGTCTGTGGGTGGGTTGGCTCACGATGGCCGTGTCTGTGGGTGGGTGGATTCACGATGGCCATGTCTTTGGGTGGCTGGGTTCACAATGGCCATGTCTGTCGTAGGTGGGTTCACAATGGCCGTGTCTATGGTGGGTGGGTTCACGATGGCTGTGTTTGTGAGTGGCCGCGTGGGTGGGTTCGCATTGGCCTTAGCCATGGGTGGGTGGGTTTACGATGGCCGTGTTTGTGGGTCGGTAGGTTAACAATGGTCATGTCTGTGGGTCGGTGGGTTAACGGTGGCCGTGTCTGTTGTTGAGTTGGTGGGTTCCAGATGGCCGTGTCTGTGTGTGGGTTCACGATAGTCGTGTCTGTTGGTGGATGGTTTCATGATGGCCGTGTCTCCGGGTGGGTTCACGATTGCCATTTCTGTGGGTGGGTGCGTTCACAATCGCCATGTCTGTGGGAGGGTTCATGATGGCCCTGTCTGTGGGTGGGTGGATTCATGATGGCCGTGTCTGTGGGTAGGTGGGTTCACAATGGCCGTGTCTCTCACCCGTAGGGTCCCATGAGTGGGGGAGGGCCGAAGGGGATGAGGAGAGGGTGGGGGCCGTGACCCCCACCCTTAGCCCCACAGAGTCCCAAGTCAATCACAGGGACGCACACCGCCTAGGGGGGGGGGGGGGGGGGGGGGGGCATGAGGGATCAAGGTAAGTGAGAGTTCGAGTGAATGAGTTAATGTCCGAGTGAGTGCCCAAGTGAGTGTTGGTCCGAGTGAGTGAGTGTCTGAGTGAGTGTGTGTCCGAATGAGTGTCCACGTGAGTGAATGTTGGAGTGAGTGATTGTCCAAGTGAGTGAGTGTCTGAGTGAGTGTCCGAGTGAGTGAGGGGCTGAGTGAGTGGCTGAGTGAGTGTCCAAGTGAGTGAGTGTCCGAGTGAGTGAGTGTCCGAGTGAGTGAGTGTCTGAGTGAGTGTCCGAGTGAGTGAGTGTTCGAGTGAGTGAGTGTCCGAGTGAGTGAGTGTCAGAGTGAGTGAGTGAGTGTTTGAGTGAATGAGTGTCCGAGTGAGTGAGTGTCCGAGTGAGTGAGTGTCCGAGTGAGTGTCCGAGTGAGTGTCCGAGTGAGTGAGTGTCAGAGTGAGTGAGTGAGTGTTTGAGTAAGTGTCCGAGTGAGTGAGTGTTTGAGTGAGTGTCCGAGTGAGTGAGTGAGTGTCCGAGTGAGTGAGTGTCCAAGTGAGTGTCCGAGTGAGTGAATGTCCAAGTGAGTGAGTGGCTGAGTGAGTGAGTGTCCGAGTGAGTGAGTGTCCAAGTGAGTGAGTGGCTGAGTGAGTGAGTGTGTGTCCGAGTGAGTGTCCACGTGAGTGAATGTTGGAGTGAGTGATTGTCCAAGTGAGTGAGTGGCTGAGTGAGTGTCCAAGTGAGTGAGTGTCCGAGTGAGTGAGTGTCCGAGTGAGTGAGTGTCTGAGTGAGTGTCCGAGTAAGTGAGGGGCTGAGTGAGTGGCTGAGTGAGTGTCCGAGTGAGTGAGTGTCTGAGTGAGTGTCCGAGTGAGTGAGTGTCCGAGTGAGTGAGTGTCCAAGTGGTAGTCCGAGTGAGTGTCCGAGTGAGTGTGTGTCAGAGTGAGTGAGTGTCCGAGTGAGTGAGTGACTGAGTGAGTGAGTGTCCGAGTGAGTGAGTGTCCGAGTGAGTGAGTGTCAGAGTGAGTGTCCGAGTGAGTGAGTTTCCGAGTGGGTGAGTGTCCAAGTGAGTGAGTGGCTGAGTGAGTGAGTGTCCGAGTGAGTGAGTGTCTGAGTGAGTGAGTGTCCGAGTGAGTGAGTGTCCGAGTGAGTGCGTGTCAGAGTGAGTGTCCGAGTGAGTGAGTGTCCGAGTGAGTGAGTGTCTGAGTGAGTGAAAGTCAGAGCGAGTGAGTGTCCGAGTGAGTGAGTGTCCGAGTGAGTGTCCGAGTGAGTGATTGTCCAAGTGAGTGTCCAAGTGAGTGTCTGAGTGTCCAAGTGAGTGAGTGGCTGAGTGAGTGTCCGAGTGAGTGAGTGTCCAAGTGAGTGAGTGGCTGAGTGAGTGAGTGTCCGAGTGAGTGAGTGGCTGAGTGAGTGTCCGAGTGAGTGAGTGTCCGAGTGAGTGTCTGAGTGAGTGAGTGTCCGAGTGAGTGAGTGTCCGAGTGAGTGAGTGTCTGAGTGAGTGAGTGTCCAAGTGAGTGTCCGAGTGAGTGAATGTCCAAGTGAGTGAGTGGCTGAGTGAGTGAGTGTCCGAGTGAGTGAGTGTCCAAGTGAGTGAGTGGCTGAGTGAGTGAGTGTCCGAGTGAGTGAGTGGCTGAGTGAGTGTCCGAGTGAGTGAGTGTCCGAGTGAGTGAGTGTCTGAGTGAGTGAGTGTCCGAGTGAGTGAGTGGCCGAGTGAGTGAGTGGCCAAGTGAGTGAGTGTCCGAGTGAGTGAGTGTCCGAGTGAGTGAGTATGTGTCCGAGTGAGTGAGTGTGTGTCCGAGTGAGTGACTACGTGAGTGAATGTTGGAGTGAGTGATTGTCCAAGTGAGTGAGTGGCTGAGTGAGTGTCGAAGTGAGTGAGTGTCCGAGTGAGTGAGTGTCCGAGTGAGTGAGTGTCTGAGTGAGTGTCCGAGTAAGTGAGGGGCTGAGTGAGTGGCTGAGTGAGTGTCCGAGTGAGTGAGTGTCTGAGTGAGTGTCCGAGTGAGTGAGTGTCCGAGTGAGTGAGTGTCCAAGTGGTAGTCCGAGTGAGTGTCCGAGTGAGTGAGTGTCAGAGTGAGTGAGTGTCCGAGTGAGTGAGTGTCTGAGTGAGTGAGTGTCCGAGTGAGTGAGTGTCCGAGTGAGTGAGTGTCAGAGTGAGTGTCCGAGTGAGTGAGTTTCCGAGTGGGTGAGTGTCCAAGTGAGTGAGTGGCTGAGTGAGTGAGTGTCCGAGTGAGTGAGTGTCTGAGTGAGTGAGTGTCCGAGTGAGTGAGTGTCCGAGTGAGTGAGTGTCAGAGTGAGTGTCCGAGTGAGTGAGTGTCCGAGTGAGTGAGTGTCTGAGTGAGTGAAAGTCAGAGCGAGTGAGTGTCCGAGTGAGTGAGTGTCCGAGTGAGTGTCCGAGTGAGTGATTGTCCAAGTGAGTGTCCAAGTGAGTGTCTGAGTGTCCAAGTGAGTGAGTGGCTGAGTGAGTGTCCGAGTGAGTGAGTGTCCAAGTGAGTGAGTGGCTGAGTGAGTGAGTGTCCGAGTGAGTGAGTGGCTGAGTGAGTGTCCGAGTGAGTGAGTGTCCGAGTGAGTGTCTGAGTGAGTGAGTGTCCGAGTGAGTGAGTGGCTGAGTGAGTGTCCGAGTGAGTGAGTGTCCGAGTGAGTGAGTGTCTGAGTGAGTGAGTGTCCAAGTGAGTGTCCGAGTGAGTGAATGTCCAAGTGAGTGAGTGGCTGAGTGAGTGAGTGTCCGAGTGAGTGAGTGTCCAAGTGAGTGAATGGCTGAGTGAGTGAGTGTCCGAGTGAGTGAGTGGCTGAGTGAGTGTCCGAGTGAGTGAGTGTCCGAGTGAGTGAGTGTCTGAGTGAGTGAGTGTCCGAGTGAGTGAGTGGCCGAGTGAGTGAGTGGCCAAGTGAGTGAGTGTCCGAGTGAGTGAGTGTCCGAGTGAGTGAGTATGTGTCCGAGTGAGTGAGTGTGTGTCCGAGTGAGTGTCCACGTGAGTGAATGTTGGAGTGAGTGATTGTCCAAGTGAGTGAGTGGCTGAGTGAGTGTCGAAGTGAGTGAGTGTCCGAGTGAGTGAGTGTCCGAGTGAGTGAGTGTCTGAGTGAGTGTCCGAGTAAGTGAGGGGCTGAGTGAGTGGCTGAGTGAGTGTCCGAGTGAGTGAGTGTCTGAGTGAGTGTCCGAGTGAGTGAGTGTCCGAGTGAGTGAGTGTCCAAGTGAGTGTCCGAGTGAGTGTCCGAGTGAGTGAGTGTCAGAGTGAGTGAGTGTCCGAGTGAGTGAGTGTCTGAGTGAGTGAGTGTCCGAGTGAGTGAGTGTCCGAGTGAGTGAGTGTCAGAGTGAGTGTCCGAGTGAGTGAGTGTCCGAGTGAGTGAGTGTCTGAGTGAGTGAAAGTCAGAGCGAGTGAGTGTCCGAGTGAGTGAGTGTCCGAGTGAGTGTCCGAGTGAGTGATTGTCCAAGTGAGTGTCCAAGTGAGTGTCTGAGTGTCCAAGTGAGTGAGTGGCTGAGTGAGTGTCCGAGTGAGTGAGTGTCCAAGTGAGTGAGTGGCTGAGTGAGTGAGTGTCCGAGTGAGTGAGTGGCTGAGTGAGTGTCCGAGTGAGTGAGTGTCCGAGTGAGTGTCTGAGTGAGTGAGTGTCCGAGTGAGTGAGTGGCTGAGTGAGTGTCCGAGTGAGTGAGTGTCCGAGTGAGTGAGTGTCTGAGTGAGTGAGTGTCCGAGTGAGTGAGTGGCCGAGTGAGTGAGTGTCCGAGTGAGTGAGTGTCCGAGTGAGTGAGTGATTGTCCAAGTGAGTGAGTGGCTGAATGAGTGTCCAAGTGAGTGAGTGTCCGAGTGAGTGAGTGTCCGAGTGAGTGAGTGTCTGAGTGAGTGTCCGAGTAAGTGAGGGGCTGAGTGAGTGGCTGAGTGAGTGTCCGAGTGAGTGAGTGTCCGAGTGAGTGTCCGAGTGAGTGAGTGTCCAAGTGAGTGTCCGAGTGAGTGTCCGAGTGAGTGAGTGTCAGAGTGAGTGAGTGTCCGAGTGAGTGAGTGTCTGAGTGAGTGAGTGTCTGAGTGAGTTAGTGTCCGAGTGAGTGTCAGAGTGAGTGTCCGAGTGAGTGAGTGTCCGAGTGGGTGAGTGTCCAAGTGAGTGAGTGGCTGAGTGAGTGAGTGTCCGAGTGAGTGGGTGTCTGAGTGAGTGAGTGTCCGAGTGAGTTAGTGTCCGAGTGAGTGAGTGTCAGAGTGAGTGTCCGAGCGAGTGAGTGTCCGAGTGAGTGAGTGTCCGAGTGAGTGTCCGGGTGAGTGAGTGTCCAAGTGAGTGTCCAAGTGAGTGTCTGAGTGTCCAAGTGAGTGAGTGGCTGAGTGAGTGAGTGTCCGAGTGAGTGAGTGTCCAAGTGAGTGAGTGGCTAAGTGAGTGAGTGTTCGATTGAGTGAGTGGCTGAGTGAGTGTCCGAGTGAGTGAGTGTCCGAGTGAGTGAGTGTCTGAGTGAGTGAGTGTCCGAGTGAGTGAGTGGCCGAGTGAGTGAGTGGCCAAGTGAGTGAGTGTCCGAGTGAGTGAGTGTCCGAGTGAGTGAGTATGTGTCCGAGTGAGTGAGTGTGTGTCCGAGTGAGTGTCCACGTGAGTGAATGTTGGAGTGAGTGATTGTCCAAGTGAGTGAGTGGCTGAGTGAGTGTCGAAGTGAGTGAGTGTCCGAGTGAGTGAGTGTCCGAGTGAGTGAGTGTCTGAGTGAGTGTCCGAGTAAGTGAGGGGCTGAGTGAGTGGCTGAGTGAGTGTCCGAGTGAGTGAGTGTCTGAGTGAGTGTCCGAGTGAGTGAGTGTCCGAGTGAGTGAGTGTCCAAGTGAGTGTCCGAGTGAGTGTCCGAGTGAGTGAGTGTCAGAGTGAGTGAGTGTCCGAGTGAGTGAGTGTCTGAGTGAGTGAGTGTCCGAGTGAGTGAGTGTCCGAGTGAGTGAGTGTCAGAGTGAGTGTCCGAGTGAGTGAGTGTCCGAGTGAGTGAGTGTCTGAGTGAGTGAAAGTCAGAGCGAGTGAGTGTCCGAGTGAGTGAGTGTCCGAGTGAGTGTCCG